ACATTTTGCCTTAATGTATCGCGGAGAATACCCGGGCGGGAGAGAAAGATGTTGAGGGAGAGAGTGTAGGGTCTCCCTAAAATATCCTCACAAATATATACGAAGGTGAAACATTCTCCACCTCGATGATGCCTCGGCGGCGGATATTAAGAAAAGAATTACGCCGTAGGCAAAATTGGGGTGTTGTTGGCCCTGGGTATCATATTTTCTCGGTGCCTGACGCAAATTTTGTGAAGTCCGGTGTCGGCTAATTTAATTCTATAAATTTTCCGGCGAGATATCATTTAAGAAAGCAGGTGCGAACGAATGCTCCTTGCTTCCAAGAGATAAGACATGTCTTAAATTAATAAACAAATAATTTTAAAAGAAATTGAAACAAATGAGATCGATATATGATTTATCTTTTATGACTCATCGATAAATTATTTGTATGACACATCATTTCTGTTCAAGCAAGAGATAATAATGTATGTCTTCTGAAATTTGCGGAAATCCACTAGCAGAGCATGACCCTAATATTGCGTCAGCATAATGTTGTGTCTCCGAAATATTAATGAGTGTTAGATCATACTTTCTAATCAGGCGGCGAACGTTAACCCACATTGGAATGCGCGCGATTAAGTAATTGACCGTGATAAGAAATTAGCATGAAACGAGCATTAAGTCGATCCAACAGTCTCCCCTCGTTCGATGTTTAATCGTTAATTTATGATAATTGTTATTATACTCGGTCGCCTAGATTTTAATTCGTGCAAATCGGTTTGCGGCACCGTAATACAAATTAAGGAATAATACGCAACAGCACGTAGGTAACATTATTATATGTAAAAAAAGGAGGGGGGAGATAAAAAGTATACTTTCCAGTATTGCGAGGCTAAAAATCGTCTGTTATTCTCGTGCTTAATTAAATTCGCGGTATAATAATCGCTATTAAACGAATTTACCTAAATGCGAAATAAATGAGCGGTCATTTTTATTCCCCACGCGTTTCTGGACTTATTTTTATGAAATACCGTCCCTTTAATCCGGCTCTAATTAGGATCTTTTACGACGCGGAGTTACGTACGTTTATTTTTTATACTTCTTTTTTTTGCGCATTACGCGCACGTATCTCGGCTCAAATGGATCCGCAGCGCTAGGTATCAAAAATAAAAATTCTACCCTGTTCTTTCTCTCTCTCTTTCTCTTTATCTATCTCTCTCTATCTCTCTCTATCTCTCTACATCTCTCTTTCGTCATGTCCTAGAACATAGTATTTTTCAAGCACTTTCGATCGCGGTCCACAGGAAACATATTTCACATCGCAAATCAGTACATACGTGCAACGCGCGCGCGCGCACACACACACACACACACACACACACACACACACACACGCGCGCGCGCGCGCGCGCGCGCGCGCGCACACACGCACGCACACACACACACAAATTTTACGAAAGCAAATTTACTCTTGCGACGTGTAATAGAGTAAAAACATGACAATGTTAATATAAAATACGATGTTACGAATAAAAACGTGGTGCGTAAAAAAGAGCTATGAGAGAGCGAGATATCGGAAATATGCCAAATGTGAGCGTTCTGATAAAAAAAAAACTCTCGATTAGATTACGCTATAAAGAGAATCACTCAATTTATTGATTTCCATGTAATCCGGCTTATTTTGTTATTAACGCCAAATCCTGTTGTCTCTTTCGCTAAAATTCATCTTTCTTTTCACCACTTTTGTCATACCGAATTTCCCGCGGCACGCAAAAATAAATCTCGTTTGTCTTCGTCATCCCGTACCGCGCGTTTGACATATCGCTCTCTTTCCTCCTCCTCCTCCTCTTCCTCTTCCTTCTCCTTCTCCTCCTCTTCCTGCTTCTCTTCTCTCTCTCTCTCTCTCTCTCTCTCTCGCAGCCATTATCATATTCCTTATATCTTTTTTTTTCCGTTCTTTGGAATACGTGCTGGCCTTTCCGCAATCTCGGAATTTCACCGAGACTTGACCTATTAAGGCGTATCGTCGACTAAGCACTATAAGTGCGAAAACAGAGAAAAGGAAAAGAGCGAATCGAGTGTGTGGAGCAGAGCTGAATGGAAATAGCGAACGAAATCGCATGAATTGACGCCGGCCGCGCGCGGTACACGAAATTCAACCGAATTTTCACATTCTCTGATCTCTGTAGCGAAAGGGACGGGGGAAACCCATTTAAATGATCAAACCTATCAGTGAATGAAATGACCCTTGGGCATTTAATTAATCGCGTTAATGTTAATTAGTGCCGATTGTAATTAGTTAAATTTTCTTTCTTCGTCCACACATGTCATTATAGGTGAATCATACACGATGCAAAATTCATTGCTTTTTACACGCCTGACAGAATTATATCCGATCGCATATGATCCTTGAGAAAAGTTTTCTGCAGACACTCTTAAAAGTTTCACCGCTTTTGCATTTGAACGTACACATTGCACTAAGGATAACACAAATAACTTTCGATGAAACGCATACATACACGCGAATAAAAGGAAGGAAATTTTTGATGGTCGGAAATTCCCTGTCGAGAAGTCTTGCATGGAAATGCTTCTCCTGCTTTTAAGAAAATAATGAGTAAATATGGACTTTATATTGTCGGCGCTGTGAAAATTTCTCTTCGAGTAAAGTTCTCCGCTATACTTTCAATGCGGACAGTTCCTGTAGGAACGTCACGCGCTTTACGATGATAGGAAAAAAAATTATTATTCGAAAAGAATTCGGAAAGAACAATAAAACAGCTCTAAAAAAGCAGGAAACTTGAGAGCGAAGTAATAATAATAAAAATAAAATTCATTAGGACTCGAAACACTCGAAACGAGATAAGATAAACTCTTATCAGTTAAAAACTTTTTTTCTGACTAATACCACATACGCACACACAGAATAATTCTAAAATTCTGCTAGGAACGTTATCGCGGTTCATGATTTTTTAATCTTGCTTATTACTTTGTAAGGATTTGCGCAATGTCGTTTGATTGCGCAAAAGTAACATTACGTTTGTAAATTATATACAAATTTCAAGTCATTTCTCTAGAAGAACATTGAGAAATCCCGATTATTGCAAAAATATAATGCATTTTTATTGCAAATAAAATACGAATTACATTATATTCCGCAGACGTATAAATTTATATTCTTCCTACGTATATTCAGTCTCTCATTAATTTTTCTTCCATATTCTTATATTTATTTAATGGAAAACTGATATTTCTAGAACATTTTCTATAATTTGCACTTATATTAGACACAACATATATTTCTTTATAATAGCGGTTATTCTTTCAATTTTCCTTTTTTAAGTTTTTGATATTTCTAATTTAATAAAGTTTTTATCTGGACTTCAAAATTAATCTTATTCCATTCTTAATTGCATTCTAATTTTTAGTTATATCTTATATTCCAAATATAATAATATATAAGATATCTTATTGTTAGATATACTTACAATTAAGAACAAAAAATATATTTAAATTTCAGAGAAATTATTATATATGTATATAATATCGTATATATACCCGGGAAAAAAAGTTTCACATATAATTATATATAATTATATAAAAAATATGTCCATTTCTTTGTTTCTTTCCTTTGTAAAATTATTCTTTAGTAAATTGATAATAATAAGAAGGAAATATAAAAAATAATTAAAAGAATAATTTTTACATTGTTTTTTTTTTACAAAAAAATCAAATTTGAAATTATTCGTTAATACAAAATTGATAATAATAAGAAGGAAACATAAAAAATAATTAAAAGAATAATTTTTACATTGTTTTTTTTTTACAAAAAATAAAGTTTGAAGAAATGAGAAAAATTGTATAATTATATACGTATATTTTTAATCACTTATGTATGATTATATATGAGCAAAGATCGGAAGAGCAC